ACTCGATCCGATCTGAAGAGTGCAAAGGATACTGACAAGGGAATTCCCTGACAGCGCAGGTTGCAGCAACCGTGTTAATTTGCTATCGCGGTATGGCAAATGCTTCCCGTCCCGATCGGTGGGGTTGCCATTTTTATCCTTATCTCCAGAAAGCCGGGCAATCACCGTTCCCAAAGTGAGTAAGCTCTTGTTTATATGGGCACCTTCTGTTCTCCGTTCTTTGCTTTCTGCAGCACGTTCAGATCCCGCAAGATCAATCAAACTCAATGTTGAGACACGCACGCCACCAGGAACGATGGCAGAGCGTTTTTCCTGCACAGAACTTCCAGCGGGGATTCGCTCTCTGCTTTCTACCACAATTTGAACAACAGCATGACTCCGGGAACTGCGAGCGTTGAACTGCGTGCTTCCAGTCCTTCGAGCATGGTCACCCCTTGCAATAACTCGTAATAACTGCGTTGGGCTTTGCACAATTTCTTCCTTCAATGGCGAGGCGTATACACCTCGTTTACTGTCCTCTCGCAGTTTGATCTCTTCCTGCTGCGCAGCACCGGGGCCCGTTCCAGAAGCTAGCAGTGACAGGAGATCGTGGATTTTCTCGTTGTAGATTTCCAGATAGCTTACGCGGAGTAAGAATTCGCGATGAGGAGTTTCTCTAATGTAGGAAAAGATATCTGTAATAGCCAAAGGGATAACACCGGGAGATGTAGCGGTACCCTGCATGGAAAATGTTTTGCCAGTTCCAGTCATTCCGTATGCAAAAACGGTGCCGTGATAACCTTCCATAACCCGGCGAACAAGGCGTTTCGCGCATGAATCATATACTCTAGCATTATTATCGTGAGCTGTAAATACATTATCTGTAATGTTAAACCGTTAGCACTGTGGATCTGGGCTATCAGAGCGCATGTCTCATCCATTCCTTCTGTTTTTCTCCCTTTGAGGGGGGGGGGAGACTAGAAATACCATAATAATAATCTCCTGATTCCTTCCCACGGTGGGACACAAGCGACCTTCGACCATCGACCATCCATTCTTCATCTGACTTGGAATTCTCTGCGTTCCCAACGTCAGGTCGAACTCTGACGCTAACTATAACATTTCCTTTCGATTCCTTCCCCTTGGAACCACGTTTTCCATTACCGGATGTGCTATCAAAATCCTCGCGACCCCTTCGTCCGCCTTCCTCAGTTTCGTCGAAGGTAGTGGCACTGGTAGAACAGGAACCCTGGGCTGATGAACTTCTGCTTTGCGGTGGAGAGGGGATACTGAAATGGCCCTCAGAGTTTCTAGCACTTGGACCGTTGGGAATGCACTTGCCATCCCCGCTGCTATTCAAAAGGCTAGGTGTTCTGGATGAGCTGGGTCCTTTAAATGTATTTCCGGAACCATTGGCGGATTTTGTCTTGATCCGTATACTACTCGACGGGATTACTGGTTTCGTGGAGTCGGGAGATCGAGGCTTCGATGTCAGTTGGGATAGTGACGATGAAGAATTCGCATCGAGGGAAGGGCGATTTGCTACTTTAGGAGGTTGGGGGAAGGCCGCAATGCTGACTGTACGACGCAGGGTTTTATCAGGACTTCCAGGGGCGCCAACAACTAATAGAGATTTGGGAGCCAAGATACCAGATGAAGGATTGGATGATTGAGGCATAGCCAATGCAGAGGGCCGTGGCGAGGCAGATGGTGTGCGAAGTTTGGAGAGTTTTAAAGAAGACGAGGAAACCTTTGGGGTGTCTGAAATCACAGGTGGACCTTTCCTTGACTTTGGGCCAGGTAACGGGGGAAGAGCTGCGGTGGGAGGGTTTGTTGAAGGGCGGGAGGGTTGAGGGATGATGGAAGCCATGGCGAAAGATTCCGTGTAGCCAGCCTAGTGTATCGCGAGCACCCACGCGTGAAGCCAAGGGGTATAACAAGGTGGCACAAACAGCCAGGGAAGGTGGGGGAAGAAATACTTGATGACTGGAGAACAATATCCGAAGTATCCGGATTAACCACGGCTGGTAGTGCGTGCTAAGTCGGCGGGATCCCACGCTGTACGGCCATGTAAGTGGACAGATATATATGGTATATATATATATATATTTATTTATTTTTATATTTATTTTTATTTAATTTTTTTTTTTTGGGTGTGTGTGTTTGTGTCTGGATTCCTAGATTTCCGCTCGGGGGTTTTGTTCAATCGAAGTGGAAATACGGGATGTTGTATGGTTGTGATTATTATTCAGGAGTATTCGGGTGTTATAGGATTCCGATATTATCCAGTAGCGATATAGAGATGGAGTCTGCAATAGGATTACTCTAGGGATCGAAGTAGGAAAACGACCGTGTGTACGGTGGGTGTATTTACTTTGTACGAGGTTAGCTCTGCTGTTTTGGCGCAGTGTAAACAAACAAGGGAGAGAGGCAAGGCGATGAGAATTACATAAATGCAGATAAGGGCACAGCTCAACCTCTGACGGTGGAAAGTGGAAACAAGCAGGCAGCAAGCCAGCCAAATAATGATACACAATAGCCACCATACCCTGATGGTATGATGTTCAAGAAAAGCAAGGTACACAACATGGAGGGATATGTCGAGAGGAACATGATGAAAATAGTTACCTGTTGCTGCACCTTCAACCGTCCAAGCGTAGGAGGTTGGAATGGGATGATGCCAGAGAAGTATCATATCAGGCCCGAGGCAAAAACGAGAGACGTAATCGAACGTTTATAGAGAAGAGGAATAAATGGTTCTTTGGAGGAGGGGGAGGATAGTGGTAGTGATTAACAGATGGAGGAGGGCGTCCTGGCGAAAACAAGAGGATAGAGAGCGCAGAAAGAGAGATAGCTATCTGTTTTCAGACAACCCTCACGCAGCCAGAGTTGAGCAGACGAGGAGAAGGTATATGTTGGCGTAGGCGCGCAGAAGTTGGCAGACGTATATTAGTTGTGCAGAGAGGAAAAGTTGAGGTGAGGACCGTGAAGATCGAAGGGGAGGAAAGGAACCCGAGGCAGATCGCAGCAACGGCCCCAACAACGAGAATTATTTATTTATTTACCACGACCACAAACCACTCTTGGTATTACTAGTAAAACATAGTAGTTACAACTACAAACCACAGCTGGTTCTACTTCTCACAGAATCTTTTATTTGCTGTGTTTATTCTCGACAGCCACCCGTGAAATATTCAAGTAACAATTAACATAGTTACACATAATCATTAAACTTCCAACTTTCCTTGCCCCCCCTTTCCCTGTCACGGCCTGTCAAAAAACCTGTCAAGCCGGCCAACATCCACCGAGTTTATTTGCACCTATTAAGTGTCAGGATTCAGTAATAGGGACGGACAGGGAACCCAATAATCGAAGGCCCCTGCTAATATACTCTCTTAGCCGAAGCTTTTGGTGGGGAACTTACATTCTCCCTTCCAAGATCCAAGAGCCCTTCATTCTGGCAGCCATCGCGGTGCTGAAAAAGACTGTTCAACAGCCCATAGAAGGAAAAGGGGGTAAGGTGAAAAAAAAAAGCAAAAAGACAAAAATAAGATTGGCCTAACATGCGAAAAAGAAGGAATTGGTCGGGCCGCGTCAAACGGCCAACCGGATTCATGGGTGGAACCATGGAAGTTCTGACCGCATCTGCTTTCCCACCCCCCACCCAGATGGGCCCTAGAGCAACACGCTACAACCAGCGATCAACGGGTAATTGGCCACTGCCTTTCGACGGGCGAGTCCCTAACTCGCTCTAGCTGCAGGACCAGTGTGATTTCCCAGCGTTCCAGTCGCCTCAGTCGCTTTTCGTCTGAGCTCTTCATTGGCTGCTGCTAAGGTTTCTTGGTAAGATCCCGTGCTCTTCCGGCGCTCTGGTTGGCTGCCCCTGAGGAGAGCAGCGTGCAATGGCTCGCAAATAAGTTGCAACCTCCATTCACTCCAAATGCTCCTGTTCTCTTGCGCATATGCTCCTTGCTTTGCATCATCTCCGTTAATTCACTTTTAGATGGAATGTTGGAAAAGATTTACGATCCATTATAGATAGTGATATTCTAGGAGTTTGCCATACACACTTTGGACTTGTTTCCTAGGCTCGCGCGCGACCTCACCGTCCTCACCTTGCGGCAATCACCTAGTTCTCTCCATCAGTCACCCCTGAATCTCCATTCTCAATTTGAATCTCGGTCAACTTTACGCGATGTAACTGTTCAGTGGCCAAAACGGTGGGAATGGCACAGTTCCCATCTTTCTCCTTGTGCGGCTCTTTTCTCCACTCCTTCGCTAATCCCAATCTTTCATTTTCTGTCCTGGATCCTTCTATCACTTTTCCTTGTGTTCTTATGTTCTTATGTTCTTCTTATTTTTCTTATTCTTCCTCCATTCTAAACAAGTATCTGTTTTCTAGAGTCTCTTTTACTAGCTTTCTTGGCTTGTGTTCAACTTCTATGGAATTCCTCACGATGCTCAAAAGGATGACTGAAGAAGAGTGGGAGCGCAGATTGCAGATTGCAGGCTGAAGGTGGTCTGCCTGTTAAGTCCCTGTTGAATGGGGAACAGGTCTTCAAGAAGCCGGAGCCTGGTACAGAGAAGAATTATGAAAGAAAAATAAAATTAAAGTCAAAATATCCTCAAGCTGGCACAATGTAATGATATTTCTGAGCATATTTTGTGACTCGTCTCTGAGACGCTATCCAAGGCTCTTCCAGTGTCAAAGTTGCGCTAGGATCTGGAAGACAGCCAGGACTCTTTCTGGCTCAATGACCAGATTGATAATTTTAGCAGAAAGATCCGAGCAGTAAGGTATCCAGAAGAGGAATGTCAGAAGCCAGAAGGTGAACGGCACTCTTGCTTCTTGCAGAAACAGGAGCTTGAGGCTCAGGAGCTGGATGACTATCAAAATTGGGTTGTCAATGAATATAAACCAGGCATCAGCGTGTAGGAAGACTAACATAGTGTGAACTTGCTACTGGAGGAGGTTCGATCGGATTGCCCATCTAATGCCCGAATAGAAGAGGCCCAGTGAGATGTTGCTCCTGTGTGTCCCGTTGCAGAACCCAGAAGGAAGACAAATAATTGATGACATGGTGGCTCTATACCGCAAAAGGAGCGCAGTGTCAGACCATCCAGCCCTGAAGGCTGAGAATGGCCGTTGTCCCACAGCCGAGTGTGCCCTTGATGTTGAGAGGTGAGTTCGCACTTGTGTTTCAAGTAGCATTGCACTTCAAGAAATCTAGCTAACTGCGGGGTTCCCCCCTTGCGCAATTAACAGCCCATTGACAAAGGGAAAGATGGAGGCATATCTACAGTTGCCTAAAAGCTACCTTGAAGACGCAGCATAGTTTTCCTGATTTATGCCCTATATGTCATCGGTGGTACATTGACATGGGGGAGTTTTGAAGTCCATTGTCAACATCACATCAATCACCCAGCAGCAATTTCACTAGAGTATGGTTTCCTGGAAGTCTGTGGAATGCTTGCATGGCCCAGATTCTGCCCCCAATGTCTCAGCAATAAATGCAAGGAATCACACATCGCATCTACGATATGGCGCAGTTTAGAACCGGCATTGGAGAGTGAAGTGCCTAATACTCCACAAGTTGTGGCGGATCACAATACCAAACTGGAAGCTCATGTCAACCCTCCTGAGAGCTTTAAGTGCAATGGAATTGATACTGACAATGAGGGAAAGGTGGAGCGCCCAAGAAGACAGCGAAAGAGCCCATTAATATTCATGGTGACTGGTGCTGCGGAACCTGCGGTTGTGGGGACCGGCCTTGCTGGCATGGATCTCTTCTTCGGTCAGAAAACATTCTCTTTAGTCCTTTCGGTCCCAGATCATGCCTTGGCTTTCTCCCGATACTGGTCGTCCTTCTTCGACCAATTCCTTAAATTTCGTACTTCTCCTCCCGAAGACAGCACGCGTTTGACCTTTCCATAAACCCTAGATTATTTAGGAGACGCAGATATGACACCCAATCTTCCACAACTAATGCCTGCAATTTCTTCATATCTTGAGTTAATGAGCATGCTATCTGGAGTTTTGGTACTTTAAACCCAATAATTAAACTTATTCCCGTTCGAAGGGGTAGGTTCTAGCTGTTTCTGCAACCACAAATGTCTCGCCATGCCTCTAGAACGCGGGGCTCATACAATTTCGGTGCTATATGTCGCAGCTACTTCCGCGATTAATCCTCGTCGATAGTGTGATGAAAATCCTCATGGAGCTGCTCCGGTCTGCGTAATGCGAGATTGCAGGAGAACCCGGTCTCTTATTACAACCTGTTATTCCCTACTTAATAAAGTGCCTGGTAGGTTGGAGTGATGGCAGATGGGAGACGGATGTGAAGCGCTTACCGGGCCTCGGGAATCGGGAAGTATTTCTTGACAACAGGGTTTTGAAGTCAAAATACTGTTCAATATTTTTTGGAGATTGGGTTCAACCCGCCCTCCCTTTTAACAGTTTTTCTTTCCTTTCAAAGGTAGTGTAGCTCAGATACTATAGGGTCAAGTTCCCACATGTAAGGGCATGTGGATATATTCATGAGAGTCAGGCAAAGGTACCGGTGTTGCAGTTGAGGTTATCCATCTGGCCTTTCTTCATTGTAGCAGATGAGATGGGTTGTGCGAATCCATTCGATTGGTGAAATCTTCCTTCACGCTCTCTTCACTGCAACTTATCCCTCAGGTTGACCTTCTCAAGTCTCCTCCATGCATCCATATTTCCACAAGCCCTTCACAAATTCTCATATCTCTCCCCATTCCCTTTTTGCCTTTGGATATCCGTATCAATATACACACATATATATAGAGGTTTTCCTTCCGAACCAACCCAGAAACCTTGGGCAGCCTTTGATATCCCGCGTTGTGGCTTCAATGGAATGTAGCCTGTTGGCAGCAACAACATGCGCCAAATTTACCTCCTAGGTATAACAGGAGTCTAACAACCCCCTTCGATTTAATGATAGTATTAGTGTTTTCAGTGGACGTGGATGAGATCTAATTCCGTAGATCTCACCACCACTGCGGCCACAACGGCCGCCCAATGGTATATCATCTCTCTTCATAGACTATACCTAAAGCCGAGACTATTTAGCAAGGCTTCGTGGGGCCTAGGGCTCGTGATAAATCCCAAAAGCGCCATCATGGGATAGGAACAATGAACCACGAGCCGGAGACCCCCCCCCAACAGTCATGTGCACCTCAGAAGTTGCATTCCCTAGGTTGCTTCGTCGCTCCAAAGTCCAGTGGCCTTGCAGTGTTCTTAAACCAAGAATCATCAATATCCCCTCCCCGCCTCCCCATATCATTGCCCATCTTCTTCGCACCACCCGATTTTCGCGGTAAATCTTCGTTCCTCGTCGGTGTCGGCTCAGCAGCCCACCATGGATGCTGCAATATTTGCCGCGCAGTGCTCCGTTTTCGCGGATCAAGCTTCAACATTGATGCAAGGAGGTCAGCACCTAATGGGCCCGCTGTAGGGAACTGGCGCATGAAGAAATCACGACCTTGCAATGGAGTGATTTGGATTTCATCGAGGGGTACGTAATTGGGGAGTTTCGTTACCCCGGGCCAGTTATCCTCTGTGGGAGTTCCGAAGGCGCCGATGATTTTGGAGATTTGGTCCATGTCTGTGTTTCCTGCGGCAAATGGGACACGTAGGAGAAGTTCCGCAAAAACCATCCCCGAGGACCATATGTCTACTGCTCCAGAGTATTGGCGGGCACCGTACAGCAGCTCCAGCGGGCGGTACCAGCGGGTGATGACCTGATGAGTCATGTTCGCATAGGGGTCTGCAAACGACCGTGCCAAACCAAAATCTGCCAGTTTAACTTCCCCATCGGAGGCAATGAGTAAATTGTTGGGTTTAATATCGCGATGTAGCACAAAATTTTCGTGGCAGAAAAAGACTCCCCGGGCCAGCATTCCCATCCACGCTTTAACGTCTGCTGCTCCGTACTGGATATTTCTATCTTTGATAAGCATTTCAAGATCTCCTAATGGGAGGAATTCCAGAACGAGGTTGAGATTCTGATCCTTAGATGAAAAGACGTCGTGGAGCGCTATGATATTAGGATGAGAGAGTTCTTGTAGATATTTAACTTCTCGAATAGCGTCCACAGAAAGCCCATCTTTGTATTCTGAATTGAGCTTAATTTTTTTAATAGCCACAAGTGACGTTGGATCCGTTCGCAGGTGGCCAAGATACACGATAGCATATGTACCTTCTCCAAGCTTTTTATCTGAGCAGGAATCGAGTTAGCTCACACGCACCAAGACGATGAGTTGGGACAGGCTATGGACAACCAACCTTTGATATATTTATGGCTTACGGCAGCATTTAATTGCTCAGCTGGCTCCGGCCCTCCCGCGAGATATGCCTCGCGCTCAGACCCAGACACCTGGCGTGAGGCAGCTTTTGCCCCTGTCACAGAATTGCGCATTGAAAGGATATTGGAATTAGTGCTAGGCCCACCGACAGCTAAATTGTTTCCAGCAGGCGAGAGAGTAGCTACAGGCGATACTGCCATTGAAGGTGAATATCTAGGTCCCGTAGCCAAAGGAAAGGGATGAGGGGAACTAAATGTGAGATCCAAGCTGCAGGTTCAAGAGATATTGGTAGCAGTCAATAAGTCACACCACAGCTTCATAAGCACATTTCAATCTATATCATCCGGGAGCATAAGAAATGGATTAGATACTTAATTCAGGTGTAGAAAATGTAAGCAAATGGAGATAAATTTAATGACATAAACCGGGTGATCAAACAGCTCCTTGGTCTGGATGGATCATTGTTGTTCCGTCTCCTCCCAACGTGAGATAAATTTTTGAACTAATCATAAGAAAACCACTCGATAATCGCTGGGCATCATCCGTTCGACAACAGCTCGGTAGGCATCTCGCCAACCAGATAAAATCTCCCAAGGCACCCAATGCTTCATGCCATACGTCACACTTCACATGAATGACGAAAATTATGCCCAATTGAGCTCTAGCGAGGCCCTTTGAACCCCGTATCAATCTGGGCACCACACCTACCTACGAATGTACAGACAGCTCAATCAATCCAACCAATCCACTAACCATGGCTGTTCGAAACGTATCCCTCAACCCATTCTCCCACCGCTTTCTGACCTCTTTTACCATCTTTCCCTCCGTCTCCACCTCAGCTTCCTCCCCTTCCATCTTACCCTCCCACCGATTCATCCGCCATCTCCATAAAGTCGCACAGCCCGTCCACGTTCCCCCACCAACTCCCTTCGTCCCAGACCTGACAACCTTCCTCTCCCTCATCGGCCGCAACATGGTCCGTTTCGCCCCTAAGTTTGCCTCATGGGATGAACTGTTCACACTTAGTTCCGCTCAGATGAAAGATCGGGGCATCGAGCCGCCGCGAAGTCGCCGGTATCTGCTACGCTGGCGCCAGAAGTTTCGGCGCGGAGAGTATGGTGTTGGCGGCGACTTCGATCATGTCGTTGACGGCGTGGCTCACTTGAGGGTTATAGAGGTAGCCCGGGATACGACGCAGGAGAAGAATGATAATACATTGACGAGTCATGATGGCAACGATGGGTCGCAAAAGAGTGATAACGTTCCCCCCCTTACAGTCACCGGTAGCGTAACGTTATCACCCGGCATGAAATGGGCTGTGGTTAACTTGCCGCCTGGCGAAACGGAGCCGAAAGAAATACCCCGGCCACTCAAGAGATATAAGGCCGTGAGGCTTGTGCGTGGTGGGATGCTAAGGGCACCGTATCTCAAAGTGCTTAAAGGAACGAATGGCACGGCTGGAACTATACAGGTGCAGGAGGGAATGTGGGAAGATCGACGAGGTCGCAAGATTGATGGCGGTGAGAGGAGGCAGGCAGAGGTTAGGGCGAAGAGGAAGAGTGAGGAAAGGAAGAAGAAGGCTGTGTAGAAGTTTACGGGAAGGATAAGTGTGTGATTTCCTTTTCTGCTTGGAGTAGATATGTATTTTAGTTGGCTTCTCTCTTGGTTGTTGTTTTAGAATCAGCTCCATTAGATTCGGTTAACTACGCTGGACATTTTTATTGATTTAGTGTACAATTCTTCAGGGAGATGAAATGGAACGAGAAAAAAACGGGAAAGAAAAGTGCTATGATATAATAATTAAACACTCACTCGTTGTGACACGAGAACCTCTCAAAGGGAAAAAACACCCAGAGTAATTGACAATTATTAGAATCAGTATAAACTTAACACCAAAAAAAATATAAAAATAAAAATAAAATAAAAAAATGAATAAAATAAAATGAAATAAAAAAACACTTGCTTCAAGACCGTTCTAGCATTCACAGAGGCAGATGCTAATTATGATGTACTCGTCTAACGCAAGAAGAAAATAGAAGAGAAAGGCCCTTGTTTATACAGAAATCCAGAGGCCGCAGTTGGTGAGAGATAGAAAGAGCGAAGCGGAATGGAATTGTTAATTCTTGGTAGGATTTCTCTTCTCCCAGGCGACTAGCGGCTTTCCCAGAGGTTTTGAGAAAAGAGACTGGACAATTATATTAGTGACACAACATTTTTCAAATGATAAAAGAGAGGTGGGAAATTATTTAGTCTTACTGAATAATCAGTCTCTGGCAGGGCAGTGTCGCCATCGAGTACCTTCAACTTCAAGTGCCTCACGATAGCCACAAGAAGTGTGCCCAGTTGTACATATGCAAATTGTTCACCAATACACCGATGTCGTCCGGAGCCAAATGGAAGGTAGGGGCTGTTTCCACCCTTGCTTACCAAACCGTAGCCGTAGTCAAATTTCTCCTCGTTTTTGTCGTCCGCTTCGCGAATTCCCATCCTTTCCCATCGGTGTGGATCCCAGGTCATGGGGTCCGGGAAGTGCTCTGGTAACCGCGATGTCACACCGGGAGCTGCAAGGAGGTTGTGAGAAACTGGGATTGTGTAGCGTGTTCCTTCGACGTGCATTGGCGACTTGACCGCGCGAAGAATGGAGTGAATTGGCGCATGAAGGCGGAGGGTCTCTTTGATGACGTGCGAGTTGAGGGTGAGTCGTTGAAGAGTCTCGTAGGTTACGGGCGGGAGGCTATCACCCAGGACCTGTTTCTGCTCCTCGTACAGTTCCTCTACAATATGCGGGCAGGATGCAAGTCGGAGCACGATCCAAGACAAAGTCGACGAGGATGAATGCTGTCCCGCCATTAACAGGGCAATCATCATGTGCGCAATCTCGATATCTGGCAGTGGAGTTCCATTCTTGTAAACACAGGACATCAAATTCCAGACCATATCTTCGGTGTCCTTTATGCCACCAGCTTCACGTCGCTTGCGAATGATGTCTGTATAAATTGCGGCCATTTTTCTCTGGGCAGCATCACGCTTACGGTTATGTGGTAGTGGAGCCCAAGGAAACATAAAGTTGACGGCAGCGAATCCCATATCCAAATCGTGGTAAAGCTGCGCGAAGCTCGAGTCGAATTTGCTTCTCACTTCTTTCCCTTGCAACGACCGGGAGGCAGTATAGATGGTTATTTCAGCCATGGTATTGCAGACATCGAGAATCCCCTTGTCACCCTGGAAAGCAGAGGAAGTTTCCATATACTGGTTGAATTCGTCGGTGATCAAGGTAACGTATATGCGCAATGATTCCGAGGTCAATCCGAATTTGACAAACTAAAATTAATAAAATTCAGTATATATGCTTCATCAACAAAAGAAAATTTTAAGTTATCTCTGATCCCATACCTTCTTCTGTTCCATCAGCTTCGAATTGGGGCAATCATATACGACATGCCTGCCGAAAACGGGGGTTGTAAGAGGCGAGTAAACCTCCTCAGCGCAAACGTCCTTGAGCTTGCCGTTGAGAACGAAATCATTGCCTTTAATTCCAAGAAACACAGTTGTCTTTTTGCCCAGAAGGATAAATGTGAAGATATCGCCGTACTATAAAAATGGGACCAGATGTTATTAGAGTCGATTGAAACAGAGGGACTTCCTGTTATCACCGGTTTGGGGTCGAAATGCATACCTTTTCCCTACAGCTCAGGAAGAACTTGTAAGGGTCAATTCCATAGGAAATGGTGCTCCCAATGATAGGGAACCAATGGAAGACAACGGGTGGCTCATTAGGGTTCTTGAAGAGGAGTTGGCAGAGAACGTTTATCAACACGGACAGAACAATGAAGGAAACGAAACCAGCGAGGACGAGGACCCAGAGCGACAGATTTGAGTAATAAGCGCATATGCAGGCAACGACGTTCGCAAGAAGTCCCATAGCGGTGGCGCGATGGCGGAGGGAGTTTGCAGCGTAGGGTTGCAGGAATTGAAGGGCAAGCAAGGCGTTATTGGTTTTGACTAAAGGAGAATCTTGAGTTATTTTGACGGATTAAAGAACGGAAACTTTATTATGAAGCAAGATCACGTGTATATTTTTGGCTTTGACTGATAGTTTCGGCATACAACATCTAATATACCCTGTCCCTCCACCAAAAATATGCTATGATGGCAGGTAGCCAACAACCATCGATACCAATTGTTACCAGGCACCAGCATTTGAGCCAATCACAACCAATCTGGACCTGGTAATGATTAGCACGTCCAAGAGAAATACGAGCTCAAGAACCTTTGGACTGTGATATTATTGGCATGATCTGGAGGGAAACAAATCCGCCAGGCAGAAAATCACGCCACTTAAACGTATTCTCAGGCGAGCGGCGCACCAACCTGCAATGTGAATCTACCTACTTTGACGCGTCAAAATGCCATCAATTGGCAAAAAATAAAAAATAAAAAATAAAAGAAACTCTATAGAAATAGAGGACAGGATTCAACTTGCAATTCTTCTTTGAAAAATAAACTCATGAAGCAGCAAGACTGCATAATGTTTCAGATTGTACTCATTTCTATCGATTGAATGATCAATCTCTCATATATGAACTTACAAATTCATACTGATTGACCGAAACCGAAGATGAAATACTTGTTCAATGAGTGCTGAGTCTAATCAAATGAGAATTATCTTCTAAATTTGCTTTTGTGAAAAGTATGATAAATCATCTTCTTGTTATCCATTCTCTCACCCACATTTTGATAAGAACTAAGTTTTATATCTAATAAATCGCTGTATAGAGTTTCAAAGTCAATATTCAAAATACTACAGTAATATTTTCACTCAGTATGAGGTTTAGTTTGAGAATATCTAGTATATATCTGGGGTACCATTGTGTGTCCCCTCCGCCTTTTTTTTTTCTACAGCCGTTGCATTAAAAAGTGAATCCAAGTCAAATCAGAAAGAATAGCAAATCCTCCAATCCCAAATTAAGCAGCATCACTGCCTGGACAATGTAAAAGGAATGGATATAGAAAATAAAATAGGAGCTCCCTTCAGGAGTAACCAAGAAGAAACACCTAGCAAAAGCTACCCTACCGTACACATGGGTAGATAGCCATACATATTCTCACATCTGCACAAAACAAAAAAAAAAAAGAAAGAAAGAAATCTCGAATACTAGATGGCTGCTCAAAGCAAAGGAATCAAGTGCAGAAGACTCACAAAAAGGAAAGACACACATCTCCCTCCGTCAGTGAGACCACGTTCATCTCCGTCGGCCCCGGGTATACCGCTCATCAAAATCATCACTGTACAATGTTGGATCACCCCGCCCTCCCAAATGCATGAAGTTGGCCGCACCCCGATTGGCCGCCGGTCCAGGCTCCTGTCTCACCTTCGCTCCTTTCGGTGTATGATTGTGCATCCGTCTGCTAGCTTCGTTACGGTCAAATACCCTCACTTGCCTGCGTCCACTCGTGCCGGTTGTGGTATCACCGAAAATAACCTGGCTCGATGGTAGCTCGTTGATGCTGCTTATCAACGTCCGCTCGCGGGCCATTTTACGCTTGGAGAAGTCGAGCTTGCCCATTGCGCCTGTTAGACCGTCCGTGCTGTCGGTTATGCTGAGATATTTACCCCTGCCCGTTAGCCAGGGGTGTTCCAGGCACTCATCGATGGTGAGTCGCTTGCCCGGGTCGACTGTAAGCATCCTGTCGATAAGGTCCAATGCTGGGTCTTCTACGGAGTCCCAGTAGGGAGACGGGTAATCGAATTTGCCCAGTTTAATTTGCTCGGCTAAGGTGTATGGGTTTTCACGGGTGTAGAGTTCGTCCGAGAAGGGAGGGAACCCGCAGAGGCAGATGTAGAGAACCACACCAAGAGACCAAATGTCGACAGCCCGGCTATATTTGCGATGTCTGGGGTTTTCTTCAAGAATTTCAGGGGCAACGTCTACGATCACAGTTAGTCACTCAAAAATGTATATTTTCAACAGTTTGGCAAAGTCGTTATTCAAGACTCACAACTTGGTGTACCACATCTAAGAGAAATGGTAGTATTAGCATTCTTATATCCTTTCCATCCACAGGAACAATATCTCAAAATCCTGGCAACTTACAAAGTGGTGGTGAACGAATCGTCACCTATTATCTTCGCAAGGCCAAAATCAGCCAGTTTCACATTCAGATGCTCGTCCACCAAGAGGATATTCTCCGGCTTAATGTCCCGATGAACAATGTTCCGTTCGTGCTGCGCGCAAGAGTTAGGGATACGGAACTAATTATAGAGGAGATTTAATTGGAAAAGGAATCAGAGAATATATCATACGAGATATTTGAGTCCTTTAAAAAGTTGAAGGAAGACCTTTCGAGCCTCTCTTTCTGTAAGTTTATTATGTGCAACGATCCAATTGAATAGTTCGCCCTCCGGAGCAAGTTCAAGGACCAAGTAAACGCCATCACTTTCATCGAATGTATCTTTCAGACAGAGCACATTTGGATGATTGACACTCATTAATACTGCAATTTCTTGCTGCAGTCCGTCGTTGTCGGCTCTTTGTGAGTCTCCCGGTCGCTTTTCGAATCGCTTCACTGCATACTTTTCGCCAGTCGACCTTTCAACGCACAGATAGACCGTGGCAAAATGGCCTTTTCCCAGCTGCTGCAGGATGCGATATTGCTGTCGAAATTTGTTAGCGTCTCTTGTTTTGGGGTAGCGGAAGACGAATCGCGCGTCATCCACTAGGTTTATTTCGTCGCCATCTTCCAATTCACGGCGTTTATTGCGGCCCACGATGGCCTCGTTTATAAATGTCCCGTTGCTGGACAGATCTTCCAAAATGGCCACAGAATCACCTCGTTTCTTTTCATTATATATTAGAGCATGTCGGTTAGATATGGTGCATATATCAAGAACAAAATCTTTACAGCAGCGAAGGTAAAACAAAAAGAAGTTAGTCCAAAGGCGCTTCCAGTTACTCCGTTCTGGTCTGGATCCCTCTTGAGAGAACATACCGCATTCTGAATGACGCCCGATGAGATATCCACTTGTATGCTCTTGGGCAGGTGTCCCTAATGCAGGATTTCCACGTTTTGACCTCGAAGATCCTCCTTTTCTGCTTTTCTCCGCCCTAATGGCAGGCGAGGCCAAGGCATCTCGCTTTTTCAAGACTAATGGGTCTCCAAATCTGGAGTCGAGAGGAATGAGATAGCCCCAGACGCCTTCTGCGGTCTCATCTTCCACTTCATCCGCATATGCTCTAGGAGGGTAAACAAATTGGGAGAGGGCTTGTGTATCATTAGGTTGGCTTGAAAAGGGGAGCTCAGCAGCAGGAGTGTGGTGACGGAATTGGCTTGGATGCCCTTCTGGCGGTGTGATAGTCTGCTGTTTTTGTTGTATCTCCGTAGCCGTGGACTCCTGATGTATGAGTGGGGAAGCCTGATACCCTCGTTTTGTGGCGGTTGTTTGTGTGAGAGAGGAAATCCGTTGAGAGCGTCGAGGTTTTTTAGAATCTTGAGCAGTTTGGTTACCAGCGCTGGGCTAAAATAACAAACCAAAAACAACGCGGAGACGTCAGGTATCATAAGGCAAATTGAGTTGTCACAGACAAGGAATTATACGTAGGCACTTATCTTACCCGTCCTCGTTTCAAATGACTTTTCTCTTTGCTTGGGGGCATGTTGGTGTTATGGTTTGGATACCTATATTTGGAAACTCGGATGGGTTCAAGGTAGGTACAAGAGTCAAGCACAGGCCGGAAAGCAGAAGAGACCCAACAAGAATTGGGAACGTCAACTTCAAGGGTGGGGTGAATATTTAGAGGACAGGTGAGATGATTACTGAATTGCTGCCAAATCTGTCAAAATCTGCCTGAAATTGAGGGGAAAAGAATAGTGTTCGTCGCCAGGCCGCAGTTCAGCCCGTCTGGAAGTGTCTGCAATGCACTTAAACGGCTGATAAATCTTGAGGCTCTGTCAACTCTGGGGCTAAAAATTGGGAGTGGAGTCTTCAAATGCTGCAGCTGGTCCAAACGCCAGTCGATAAAGGAGGCTGATTTGATCAGTTCTTGTAATCAAGTTTCTGGGGATCTCAAAAGAACGAAATGAACAAAAGATTCGCAGATTTAACAGCCTTAGTTACAACTGAGTGCTCTGTATATATTTACCAATTAGAGATGCATACGGAGTACATGAATTCGAAATACATTTATAGATATTTATATAATCTCGTTGTAGAGAGTTTAAAAGTATTCAAGGTATTCCTTTAGAAATTGTTTAACTGTTTAGCTTGTTTCAGTACGTAGGGTAGTTAATACCTTGTTCCCTCTGCACTTTATCTGGCAATAGCCGTACCTGGTATGTACCACCACATAATCACCGGGGGTTTCGTCATTAACTTACTCTCTTTGGTTAGTTATTTAACTTCATCTTTCAACTTATTACTGAATATTTTTACCATTTTCTTGCCTAATATTTTCTATCCGCAGAACACAATCCAATGCTTTAGCTGTTCCTCCTCATAGACTTCTGCAGGCTCTGCTGTAGGCAGCTCTTTGAATTATGTATGGCTTTCCTGTCCATCCACTGCGAACCAAACTGTCTAACATGTTTACAGGTCTCCGCCTTCCAATCTGCGGCGTGCTGCCTTCGACAAGCTTGCCCAGTTAGCCTCAAGATATCCGGAGAATAATAGCGGGGGCATATCGGACGTTGATCGCCTAGGAAAGGCTTGCTGTCGTCCACAGTCGTCCTCAGGCGGGTTTTTCGATGGAGCTTCCAAAGCTCAACCTCCTCTCTCGTCCACTCCGCTCGTATGTAACCACCCCTCTACTGCGCACCACTGGGTCGTATATGGAAATATCTTAACCTTTATAATAATAGACTATTCGGGAACTGGACGTTCTGCTAGCACTTTGTAAAGCAGCCTCCAAGCCGTCATCCCTGGATCAAGCTACAAATTTGGTCACCCAACTCGCCGGATATCTCCCCAATTCGCACCTCCTTCCGCTTCATCCATCCCCGTTTCTTCATCACATTAAACCGTCTCCATGGGAAGCGTTGACATACAACCTTAGTGTTGCCTTATTGTCGCTGGGGTCTAGGTTTCCGTGTTACCAGAGCGAGATAATCCAGAGCGTCGTCTCATACCTCGATAATTGCCTCCACGGTACTGAATCCCTACCCGCTTTGCGAAACCGCACGAATGACGAACGGGAACTAGGAGACTCTCAGACTGTTGTGGAGGTGGCATCAATCACTGTGTCTCTTGTGGGATTTTTGGATGCGGCATCCGTATATGCCAACTTTTGGACACCCGAAGAACGACTTGAGATCATTCGCCAGTTGCGCTTGATACTTTCTGAACAGTTTTTGATAACAGTTGAAACCGTTTCATCGACTCTCCGTAACTCAGAATTACCAGACCGTGTTCTGCTCGACTGGCGACGATATGCTCGACGCTATGCGTCAAGAGGGCGCCCACTTGGCGCAATGCTTCTGCAACAGGCATTCATGCGGTTTATCAGAGCTTCGACCTCGCCCGCCCGTGCCGATGGTCGAACTATTTCTGAAATAGACCTTCTGGATGAATATATTAGTAGAGCGGAGGTTACAAAGCAGAACCAGGCCGACCAACTCGTCCTCGTGCAACCACTAGCGGAAATAATCGCCGAACAGATTCATCAACTTGAGGATGGAGCTGATTATCTACAACTTGGCTCCGCATGGCAACAACGGCTCGCCTTCTCCGCGAAATCGTTTGCCTTAGTTAGCTTCCTGAATTGCGTCATTATTGATGAGGACTCGACTGATGCTGACCTCCTTTTTTCCTGGCTGGAGGACACGTTGCTGAACCCAGACCAGATGGCTGATGGGGAGCTAGCTGTAGTGGTTCTAAAATCAATAACTGTCCTAGCTAAGCTTTTTTCTTCGATGGCTCTGAATACAACCCGATGTTTTCTCAAATTTATCGTGCACAACGGTCAAAGTGGCGGGACGGTTGTGGTCGCCGCCCGCTGCTTAGCAAATACCCTCCGCCTTCTTTCACAGGACACAGTCATTGGCACCTTGTATTCCTTGGGGAACGTCCTGAGTTCTGGTCCAACAGCAGAGAAAACGTACCAACTTATGGCAGACGGTATCGTCACCAATCCTCGAAGCTTGGTGCTGCCATACCCTCAAACCTCGGACGGCAGCATGATATCTCTTAACTTGAATGAAGATGCTGAAACTTCAACAACGTACCGAAACGTGGTGCACGCCATAGTTACCATCGCTACAAGCTGCAACGATAGTAAGATTGTGGCATTGGCGCAGTCGATGTTGTTGCAAAAGATCGGGAAAATTAATGCCGTGGTCAATGCCTGCATCATCGAGGAAACAGCGGCTCTTGCTCTCCATAGTGATGAACCAGAGTTCCAATTGCTTCTCAAGTTTTATTCCCGTTTCTACAGCGAAGCCCTTCTGCAAAATAATACTTTCATTATTGATGCCGTACGTAATTTTTGCCATCCCTCATTTGTGTTAACCGGCAGTTATTCACTAATTATCCATTGTAGGTTCACAAAGCAAGAAATCATCTAGCGGAGAATTTGAATCAATATTCTCACCACTATCGGATATATCTACTACATCTTATTGAAAGTATCGTCAATAAAGGCGATGTAACTGACAGGAAGAAGGATCGCCAGAAGGAAGTAGAGTTCTCTGCAGAAGAAATTATTCCCTTAGTTAAACCTCTTGCGATGCTGTTTTCAAAACATAAATATAACTGGGAGCTCCCCAGCGGTACCAGCGAACATGATATACCCTCCCTGCTCCGTGATGTGTGGTTTAATATTGCAGTCCATGGTATTTCCCTTCGTTCAGAAATTGCCCAGCAATATTACCAGGAGCTCCGCATACTTGCAGTTCACTCCCCGCCGCTGGTAGCAGAAAACCGTGTTGAGTTATTGGAGAGCGATATTGAATTAAACACTGTGCTGAGGCGTGGAGCAACTCAACAACACACCGCGGATCAGCGCAAGATACTTTCCACTGAGCTCCCAAATTCGGAATCTGATATCAGACGGTTGAGTTATCCCAAGACGATCTTTTTGAACGCGACCCTGCTGATCGAGAGTCTTCGGGCGGCATCTGGCGACTGCACCAAAATCCTTACCTATTTCCTTGACCCTGTCCTTAATAGCACAGATGTAGGCAGTTGCATGAACGCCATCGCGGACAAAATCGTCTCTATTTACCTTGAGAAATCTCTCTCAGGGCGTTTAACGAAGTTTTCGGCCCCGTACATTTCCGCTCAACTAGCAGATACCTTTATCGCCTGCTGCCATCGAATTGATAAAGTACAACAGGTTGCGGCAACCAATGCCAACAAGATCATAGGTCACTGTCCCTCTTCGCTCTGCGAGAAGAAATCGCTTTTTGTTCTCTTGGATTTGTTAACCGTTATGTGGTCGTCTTGTTTGGATGAGGAATTAGATGAGTTCGAGTGGAAGTCTACCTTCACGTCCGCAAGAGGGGTCGTAAAGATTGAATTATCGGACAACTACGAATTTAGAAAACGTACTTTCACCACGTTTTATCAACTTGCACGAACATGGGTATCAACGGTTATGAATATTGCTCCGCTGGATGTTAAGGGATTGCTTCAGACCTATCTTTCGGACTACGAAGATGACGGTGCCTATGGACATATCTCTATGGGGCGATCCTTCGCTCTGGAATTGGGTTCTTCCATTCCCTCCAGCGACCAAAGATTAGGTAGATAAAGGCCTCACTCCCATATTCACCATTCAGCCTATACTGATTCTTCTTTCTAGGCTCCATTGATTCTCATAACAATTCGATTGTCAATGTGGCATCCGATTTCATTGCCCAGTATACAACTCGCCAGGAGTATCGCTATTCCGAAGCACCGCCATTAAACCACAAGGATCGGGAACATCCTAACGACCAAGTTTCCAAGGTCGACCTAACATCTCCAAACTATGTAAACACCGTAAAAAAAAACGAAACATTGCTCCTCGAGTTAGAATCTCGAATTTCTCAGGGCCAAAAGATCCCATTAGATATTTGTCGGAACTTACTTCGAAGAGCTGCTGCATTGATTTGTAGCTCCAGCGGAGCACAAACCTCTATTGTATCACACCTTGTCAATATCCCATTCCTGATGTTTACAAGGGAGTCGATAAAAATGGGCATTTCGCTCTGGTTGGGCGTGATCCATGAAAATCCGCACACAGAACCAAGAATTCTGACAGAGGTTGCGCAAGCATGGGAACGAACAATCCACAAGAAGATGGGGATATTCAACCCGGATTTTCAGTGAGTGACAATCTGCCCTCTTTCAACCCAAATATCCCTCAGCTGACAATTCTGCTCTTTGAGATATGTTGATCCGTTTATGTTAAAAACGGAATTCTCTCCATCGGACAAATCTATTATCCTGAAACGGCAGAACAAAGCGCAAAATATCATATCCCCCCACTTCCGCATCTTGCAATTTTTCGAAAGCCATTTCAACGCGACCAGACAAGGTAGTGTTCATATCGAACGTATATTTAGTCGTCTGGTAAGCGCCACTCTAGTGGGCCTACAGAGTACAAACGCCCACCCGCTTGCTAGGGAAATCCATTTCCACGTTGTTTTGTTTGGTTTGAAGGTCCTTCGATATTGCACATCTCAAACGAAAGTTGCACTATGGAAGTTGAAGGATCAAATTCTTTCTGCAGCTTTGACATGGTTCAGCCATCCACCTCGGTGAGCTCTTCTCTATTCAACTGAGAAACATTAACTAGAATTTTATTTTTGACACTTAGATATTTAGGTGGTCCCTCGGAGGAAACAGGCTGCAAATGAAGGCTGAGGATAAGGTGCTTAAGGACATTGAATCCCTTCTAGAAAGTACAGCGCGGATAGCCACGGATGCATCGAGTACTAGAAGATCTCTTCAAGCCAAACAAGAATTAGTTCGAATATTAGTTGAAAACGAGCGATATCGTCTACGGGTATGGCTTTCCCCACTGGAGCATGAGAAGAGGCACTACATTTCAGGCTCGGTGAATAAAATCGACCCCGAGGTATGTTCCACCTGTAAGACGCCCACTTTGAGGGAAACATATTTCTCACATAGTTCGCAGGTTATATCTTCTCTGATGCGGTTGGCATGGGCTGAAAACCATGGGTTGGCAATGCAACTTGCCGCGCGGTTTCCATTCCCAAAGCTCAAAAGCGACGTGCGCTGGCTATTACTTAATTTCCCCGAAAAGGCTATCGATGATCCCGATAGCCTGGAGATACTGATTGGCACTGAACTACCCCCTGATGTGTCCTTCCAACTCAAGTATCTGCTCTACTGGGCTCCCGTAAACCCCATTGCGGCGGTAACGTATTTCTTGCCGACGTATGTCAACCATCCCTTTATCATTCAATATGCCATGAGGGCCTTAGAAAGCCACTCTGTGGATGTTAGCTTTTTTTACATTCCTCAGCTCGTCCAGGCCTTGCGACACGATGCTTTGGGTTATGTTGAGCGTTTCATATTCGAAGCCGCGCAGTTGTCACAGCATTTTGCTCACCAAGTTATCTGGAACATGAAAGCCAATTCTTATAAGGACGAAGATGCTCAGATTGTATGGTGCCCTCCCCATTTTCCTTTCCTCCACTGTTTCTTGAAACATAAATGCAAGACTTGAACTAACAGTCATTCACTTTTTATAGCCCGATCTTATCAAGCCTGTCCTAGACAAGTTCTTAGATAAGTTGATAAGCCACTTCTCAGAAGAGGATCGAATCTTCTACGAAAAGGAATTCTCTTTCTTCAATGAAATCACTGGCATTTCCGGGAAGTTACGGCCTTATATAAAGCGCAGTAAGCCAGAGAAAAAGCAAAAAATCGAAGAGGAATTGCGCCAGATCCAGGTAGAAGTTGGAGTATATCTGCCGAGCAATCCAGACGGTGTAGTTGTTGGGATTGATCGAAAGTCCGGAAAACCTTTGCAGAGCCATGCAAAGGCCCCATACATGGCGACATTCCGGATCAAAAAGACCAAAAAGAAGGAGGAGAATGGCAATGGTAACGGGGTGACAATGCCTAAAGCTATCGCAGACGATTCACAACGCAAAGCAAGTGTTGATGAGTCGGCGTTGCAAAGTGCAGATAGTCAGGAAGAATCAGAGTCGACTTACGAAGTCTGGCAGTCAGCTATCTTCAAGGTCGGTGACGACTGTCGCCAGGACGTGTTAGCACTACAGATGATCGCAGCTTTCCGCAGCATTTTCACAACAGTTGGATTAGATGCGTTTGTTTACCCTTATCGGGTAACAGCCACGGCACCCGGGTGCGGTGTAATCGATGTGCTACCCAATTCGATCTCACGAGATATGCTAGGTCGCGAAGCCGTCAATGGTCTCTATGATTACTTTATATCCAAATATGGCGGAGAGCAGTCGACTCGTTTCCAAGAGGCAAGGAGCAATTTCGTCAAAAGTATGGCTGCATACTCAGTCATATCATACCTTCTACAATTCAAGGATCGTCACAATGGAAACATCATGATCGATGACGCTGGTCATATCATCCATATTGACTTTGGCTTCTGCTTCGATATTGCCCCTGGTGGCGTCCGGTTCGAACGCGCCCCATTCAAGCTTACGTCGGAAATGATTGCTGTAATGGGCGGGCAGAGTCCTCCCTCCAACTCAGGTGGCTCCTCATCAGCTGGTGGTGGTGGGCTATCCCTTAATAGCCACCCAACATATTCGCAGTCATACCGCTGGTTTGAGTCGCTGGTCATCAAAGCATTCCTCGCCTCAAGACCATATGCGACCAAGTTGTCACATATTGTGATGCTGATGCTTGACAGTGGCCTGCCGTGCTTTAAACCTGACACGATGAAGAATTTCCGTGACAGATTCGTGCTGGAGAAGACAGAGCGTGAGGCTGCTGAGTATATGCGAGAGTTGGTGAAGAAGAGTTACATGAGCATGTCAACGAAGGGTTACGATCAGTTCCAGCTGCTGACGAATAACATACCCTATTAGACATTTTGCATTGTTAAATGGATGAATGAGTTGCAGGTTGGCAGTCAACCAGTCCCGCTTTTGGCATGCTCTTTCATTGGCAAATGGAGTGAGTACTATGGACTGTTAATGTCGATGCCACACATCGTCTTTCATACTTTTCCTCTTAACCTTGTATTATTTTTGTAGAATGTAGACATATACTTTTACCCATTTTCTTCAACCCTGTTCTTTTTATCAAATCCTATAGAAATAATGCCTTTAGGACCATTGTCTTCTTGTATTTCCTCACAGACATCAAACTCCCTCCTCTTGCGGCATGTTAATTGTTCTACAGTGCTATCGTCGATAGAAGCTTGACACATGTACAGTACTGTATGCTAATGCAACAGAAATAATATAATATGATATAATATAAAAGGCTTAGTTGGAGTTGGCAAATGAATACTCATCAATTCGCGTCCTTGGTGCTTGCAGATGGCGTCTCCAGAAGGCACCTGCACTCTCTCTACCAGCGACCCAACTAACCTTCCAACGTTGACTTTGCCTTAAAACAAACCTCCTTTTGTTCAAAAGATGGCGGGGACAATGTTGAACTAAGTTAATAAAACAAAACTTCTGAGAGAGGCAGTCTGATTTTAATATATTCAAAGCTGGGGTAGCTAAAAGATACAGAAAACCCGCCACGACACTATAGTTCAAATCCGGCTCGGAATGAAAAAATGTCCTTTAGTCTTGCGCTTCTTAAATAATAGGGGCATCAAATAGCAAGTGGAAATATGCACCTTCAGAAAATCTCTCTTCCGCAGACAACGTTGAACTGAAAAATACTTATAAAACCATCTCAAATAGGAAATAAGGGAAAAGTCCACACACAGTGGCCTATGGACAACATTGGACTACAATTTAAAAAACAAGTAGGGAACTGAAAAATGGGAAAGAAGGCAAGGGAAATTCCGATGTGCAGCAGTCTTAGAAACTAATATTATGCAAGAATGGAAAATGGGATCATCCTCGCGGCGCTATAAGGTGGTCACGATTGCTCGATGTTTCCATCAATTCCAGTGTGGGGGTTGTCATTGTATCTCGATTGGAGATAGCAACAAAGGATGCTGTTGGAATGTACCCAATTGAAGCAATCCTTTATCAATACCTGACGACCGGCGCCAGATTTTCAGGAGCTTTCCTTCTTGGTCTTGTCTGCAGGTCTTATTTTATTTCCCAATATGTCAAATAAATTTTGACAACGAGGCAAAGATAATATAAAAAGTAGAGAAGCATATACTGAAGGAAAGCAAAATGTAATGCAGACCTTAGTCCATGAAGTCACCCCTCAGTATCTTCTCTTGGAAGTAGTCAGGTTTTGGCCTCTGTTTTGGCTGTTGCTTCAGTTTCTGTGCACTCTCAGGAGGAAGTGTTGTAGGTTGTTCCATTGTTGCAACGGAAGCAGCTCGTCTGTGGTGCTGAGAATACGTGGAAGAAGGGCTAGGTGGTGATCCCTGCGTTAAAGTTGGAGACGTTGGGGGAAAAACTCCCAGCGAAGGAGCACGTTCAGCACGACTCCGAAGGGCTTCCGGCCAATTAAAGCCTTCGCCTACAGAACGCCAAAAAGAGGAGTTAGATTTATTGTTCTGGGGATTGTTTGTAGATGTACTTGCAGCAGCCACATCAGTGGGGAAGGCCAAAAAGGATGTGCTGTTGGCAGTGGACAGGGCTCGTTTCCTTGCCAAGGCAGGATTCCCAGAGGGATATCTACCATTTGAACATCCACCGCCAACACGTTCCCGGAATGCTTGAGCTCCAAAGGAGAGACGACGAGCAAACGGTGTGGAAGGGGAAGTCATTGGTGTATCATTTTCATTTTCCTCTATCACAGAATCTTCCATGTTTGGTGATCCAGATAAAACCGAGCTCGAAACGCTTTCACGACGCATAGCTTTGGCACTACTGAAAGGAGACGACTGAGTAGGAGAGCCCGAGAGACCCAAAGTGGTAATCGACATACGGCGACGCTGCTGCGCCTGAGCACTAGCAGAGGATATGATAGAACCCGGGATATTTATGGAGGGACTTGGGGGTGGTTGCTGAGGGGCAGCATTGGCAGGTCTTGAGAAGAGCTCTGAGAAGGAGGTGCCGGAAGCAATGGAAGCACGGCGGCCCGGAGGAAGAGCTGGAGCAGTTGAAGGCGGTGAATTCGAACGCTTTTCGGACATGACACAGGGAGCAAATGGGTAGCCGGCAGAAATACCGGTAAGCTATAATAATATGGCCCCAATTGTGTTTCGGTCTTGATCAATGGGCGTTGTGAGGCCCACGATAACAACAGAATAGTATATAGAAGTCGTTCTCAAGATGCAATAAAGTTGTCGACAAAGAGAAACAAACCAGAAACTAACTACTGTGTTAGAGGAAAGATGTCAGCAGGATTACATGACCTGATCCTCGCCTCTGGAAAAAGGGGCAGGAGGGGGCCAGCGAAGAGGGGTAAATCCTAGTGGACAAGTACGCAAAGGGAAGAGCTGAAATGATAGTCAAATGCTAGGAATGCTAGAGGGAGGAGCAATAAGATGGGATTGAAAGTCCGGGGGACCGGATCCAGTACGGTGTGAGGTGGCGAGAGAGCAGAAACAGCGGGGCCAAGGTAGCTTGCAGGAGAGAACGTGCTTTAGGTGGAGGTTGATTCGATGGCTGAACCTTGGAGCTGGGTGATTGAAAACACTGAAACAGACAAGACCGCAAAAGAGACAGTGGAACTTTCAGCTGGTGAAGGGACTGGATAGAAGAGGACAATGAAACTTCAAGAGGTCAAAGATGTAGAATGGGTGAAGAGTTGAGGAGATGAAGGGACGACGTTGAAAGATGAAGTCGGAGGTTTGAAGTTGAAGATATTCCCAAAGAGGAAAAGTTGCGTCCTAGAGACCTGTGACGTATTGTGGTACGAACCGGTAACGGGACTGGATACTAGCGCCATTTGGCGTGATTTTGGCCTGGCTTGGCCTGGTTTACCCCGGATTTGTTTCGGTGCTGTGGAGCAAATTACGTCACATTACGTCACCAAAACAGCGATAACGGATGATCCGGGGTAATCTCGGGACAATCTCGGGACAATGTTGATGCGACTTTTCAGCTCAGAAAGCAGCAAACGTGAACCTGAAGACTGACGGAATTTATTTATCTCCAGTGAACATGAAAAACAGTCTTGAACAGGGATCTAATGAGATATATATGTGCTGTACATACAACTTGGAATTTACAGAGAAAAGAATTAACTCTGCTGGGTGGTTGCATCTAGCCCGTCAGCTGTCAACTCTGCACACCATGGATCTCTCCCACTAATCGTGCCGCTGCGCAACCCACACCTCGTGTGGGTGCGCCACACCAAAACGATAAAAACACCAAAACGATAAAAATTTTGCAATTTCATCATCTTCATAATCTTCATCAATTAATAACTCACCACAATGTCAAATAAGGATAAAAATATTGAAGACCGTATTCAAAAAGCTGTCGCTTACCACCAAAAAAACCCAAATTCCAAAATACTGCCTCTGTCACGAGAATTTGAGGTTCCTTATCAACGTCTCCGAGCGCGTATCAATGGAAGGAATCCGAATACTGCAAAGATTCCAGTTAACAAGAGATTAAATGAGAGTCAGGAGGATGCAATTAAACGATGGGTCAAGCTGCTTGATGAAAAGAATTGTCCTCCCACAGCCGAACACATTGAAGATTTCGCAAATTCAATGCTCAGACATCAGCACATAGATCCTACTACCTCTCCTTCAAAAGTCAGCAAGATGTGGACTTATAGGTTCATTGAACGCCTACCTGAGTATAAGAGGGTGAAACAGAAGCCAATGGATCCAAAGAGAGTGGCAGTTGAAGATATTGGATATATCAATACATGGTTTGAACGTCTCCGGATTCTATTTGAGCAGTATCAATTTCACGCCTGTGACACATACAACTTCGATGAGATTGGATTTCAAGAAGGACAAGGATGTGAAGAATGGGTTATAACTGCTTTTAAAGAAGCTAATTCCATCATTCCTTCATCCTTTTCAAGAGGTTTGATTACAGTCATTGAATGTGTATCCATGGATAATCATGTCATTCCGCCATTGATAATCTTGGCCTCCAAAACACACTTGGAGGATTGGTATACACAGACAGATTTGCCCAGCAATTATAGAATTGCTATATCAGATACTGGATTTACAAATGATGAGATTGGATTTGAATGGCTCAAACATTTCAATACTGCTACAGAAAAGAAACAGAAAGGAAGTCATCAATTGCTTTTAATGGATAATCATGGATCTCATATCACGGAGGAGTTCATATAATACGCGGATCTTCATAAGATAATTCTATATGGATTTCCATCGCATGCCACTCATTTGCTACAACCTCTGGATAGTCTACCATTTCAGCAATATAAGCATTACCATTCAAAAGCAGTCAACTATGCCGCACGCCATGGTCTTGTTAAGTATGAAAAACGGCAGTTCCTACAAGACCTCTCAGCTATGCGAAAGCAGACCTTTAAACCCGATACAATAGCTGCAGGATGGGCTCAACGTGGCATATATCCATGGAATCCCGACCGAGTTCCTGACACTCTTAAGCAGCGAATCTCATCACCTCCTCCAATGCAGATTTATGAAGATGAGAATGATTCAGATCACATACCTACCTCTTCTTCTCAGCTATCCTCACCAAAGACAATCCAAAAGCTGAAACGCCATATCAATATTGCGGAAAACGCCATACAAAGTATTAGAGATACTCTTGATTTGAAATCACCCACCTTGACACGTCGTTTGAACAAGATATTCAAAGCAAGTCTAATCCACGCGGAACTTAATGAGCAACAGACCACTGAATTAGAGAACTTTCTCAACGCCAGTAAACGCCGCAGAGCTAAAACAACCCATCGCCAGGTTCAAGTAGGGGGAGTCCTCACTACTAAAGATGCCAATAGAAAAATCAAGCGGCGTAAGGATAATGAAGCTGAAAAAGAGCAGAATAAGGAGTGACGGAGGCTTGGAGTTGGTCCCATGAAAATTGGCAATAACCCACTCAACACCACTGACAGAAGAGGGATTAAATCGATTTAGAGATGGCACACATACTGGGAATGATGTAGATAATCTTTTTATTATAGATTAGCTACTGGTTGTTGATATAGAGTGCAATAATGAGGATGTGATTCAAGATTTTTATCGTTTTGATGTTTTTATCGTTTTGGTGTGGCGCACCCACACGAGGTGTGGGTTGCGCAGCGGCACGATTAATAGGCATCTCCACGAGTTTTAGTGATATTAGGCATCCATGCTCTGTCTGACTCTGCCAGTTGATGGACTGACTAATTACCAGGTAGAAAGATAATAGACGAAGGGACCTTGACCTGGGTTTCAAAGTTATTCTGATTCTTTGTGTCTAGTTCAGCAGTTGAGATTCCTCATTAAAAGGGTATTCAATAGATAAGACAGTATCAAAGAAGAAAACAACCCTTCCTTACAATGGCTACCTCCCATGAAAGACCCTCCTGGCTGCCAGAGGATTTTCTTTGCGCGGATCCTCAGAATGCATCTTCCCGACGCATCGACTTCACCAAAACCAACAGCGCATTTCCAGAGTACGAGGGCCATTATGCGCTCATGGTGGATGACCTCCTCTCCAAAGAAGAATGCGATCTCCTTATCCGGGCTGCTGAGGAGTCTACCATCTCTGACTCAAACAAAACTCCCAAGTGGGATCAAGCCCTGATCAACGTGGGAAACGGGCAACAAATGCTCCATACCGATACTCGACGCTGCTCCCGCATCCTCTGGGACTGCCCCTGGCTAGCGGCGCGCATTCTTTCTCGAATCCGCCCCTTTATCCAAGATGACATCGAAGTCCTTCGGGATGTCTCATCCATCTTCTGCCGCGGGCCTGCCCAACGTCAGGAAACCTGGCGCCTTTCTAGACTCAATGAACGCCTTCGCTTCCTGCGATATTACCGTGGCGAATACTTTCGTCCTCACATGGATGGCCCCTATGTTACTCCAGGTGGAGAGGAAATATCCTTTTTCACGCTGCATCTGTATCTGAATGGTGAACCAGGTGACAGGAAGATGGCAGACTTATCTGCTGTTAGTGACGATCAGGTCAACTCCCTACCTTTACGTGGTGGCGCAACTACCTTCTTCCCTCCATTCATCGACTCGGATGACGCACGCACTTTCAGCGTTAACCCGCAAACTGGCTCTGTCTTGGTCTTTCAGCACAGAGGGTTGGCTCATTCTGGCGATGAAGTCTTACAGGGAACTAAATACACTTTGAGAACTGACTTTATGTTCTGTAGAGATGGTACCGTTAAAGAATGACATTGTGATAAACCGACACCGATGTGGTCATTTTGTCTGGCTTTGGGCTGCATTTTTATTTTCCAAGTCTCTTTTCGATTTACAATGCCATGTTTTCATTTTTCATTCCTTTCATCTATCATATCACTTTTTTTTCAATAGGCCTGTTTGGAAAGGAGACCAGAGGATTGGGATATCTCAGATATCTATATACCCTTAGAAAGGAAGCTTTGAAAGGTATAAAACTCACAACAATAAAGGGGGACGGCAATTCTACTTCCAGCGCGACGAATAACCGAAGTGTATTTCGAGCCCAAATATCCCAACGCACTTCCATTCCACATGTCGCCATTAAACACTCGCAACCAACCCAACGCCTCTTAACATTGATTAGTACAACGTAAACAGATATCCAACATTTCGCTTTATACTCTCCCTCGCTCAACACAACACCCCAAAGCTCAGTTGTAAGAGAGAAACCAAGGAACCCCCTTAACAATCTCTTACCCTGTTCATACACACCCACCTTCGCGTATTAGGCCCTCCTGCTATCTAGAGCATCTGGTCGAATAAATTAATCAACCTTCTCCCCACACTAGGCTCAATCTCCGTTCCGTCTCTGGCAATTTTTACTTCTTTGTTGGCATTCCAAGGATTCCGAAGTCCTTTTGTGCGGTGGAATGGAAGACGTCGCCAGCACAACCATTCCACATTGAACGGCCTCCCAAACGATTGGCTATCCATCTTGCTTTTGTCATCTTCATTCGTAGGTCCGTCTGCGTTTGCTTCATCCGCACCATCTGTGCGATCGATTTCCCAGAAGATGGTGCCTCGTGCTGGGTCGTTCACTATATATCCTGCTGGTGCCGTTTCCGTGGCAGGTGTGGGGGTGACAATCAGAAATTCAGAAGCTGTTACTGAATTATTACCTTGAACGGTTTCTTGATTGCCGTTTGGTTCGCTAAGAGTAGGGATTGGTGAAGTCATGCGGCCGTAGCCAAAGTATTCGCCAGATTTATTAGCAGAGAATATCAAATATACTACCTCTGATGTCTGGTGAAACGGAAACATGGTCAGTGACAGTTCCTCTCTTGTTCATATCTGACCTAAATATCCTTCGCGTTTATATCAACGGAAAGGAGATTCCTACCTCATATGCACGGTTCAAGGCACTCTCGTTATGTCTCTGCGTAGCCCAAACTCCACTGATTCTGCTGCGCTCAAGGTCTTCGATAGTCAGGCTTTTAACTATGAAATACCTTTCAGGATGCTTGGTAGCGGAGACTTGAGCGGTCACTTCATTGGAGGGGTATGTAGGACCGAGCTCTCCCTGCGGCTTATCAAACTCATTGACCGGAGGATTTGTTGTTTCCGGCCTCGGTGGTGACAATGCCCGAATGTTATTCTGATCTGAAGAAGCGCTTCTACGGAACCTGCAAACCAACCTTATGCCCTGGAATCTCGAATCGTGGAACCTGGTAACTGCAGTGATACACCCCGCCTCCGTCTTGTAATTCACAAACGCGCACTTGCTGTTTGAAATAAGAAATACACTTTCGATTTCTTCGGTCGCGTCCTGAGAAAAGTGGTCCTTAAGATCAACAATGTTGACTTGGGACGGGAGATTGCCAACCCACAACGCATATCCTGACTGTTTCGGTTTCCTTGGAGGTCCTCGTAGAATTGGTGACCGGTGTTGGGGGGTGGACGTGTTCATTATATTCCCTCCTAGAGTTTCTAACACGAGAAGCTAAGTTGTTGGCCAATATTCCACAATCCAGTTTACCCAGAGGCAGAACAAAACTCACCCCTTTCAATTGGAAGCGGTTGAGCGATCTTTGCAGCACGACTGATTGAAGCTGAGCCGTCGACAATGGCGTAGTGTGCAGTTGGAGGCGCCGCTGTTTCCACAGCGATGGTCCGATGCGGTGGTTCCTGTGTAGGACGGACATAATTTAGATTTCCTGGATTACCGCTATTACGAAACAGTGGCCACATTGGCAAACGGTTCTGGTCATAATGAATAGTCTCGAGAAGAAAACTCTGCCATCTTGGAGCCGTATGGAGGAGCGGTCCATAATATGCAGGTTGAGGTAAAGCATGGAGAGTGGTATTATAGAAAAACGTCTGTTGCGAGGTTGGTTGATTGCCTAAGGTACCAGGTATCGTGGGGTGATTATATGTTTCATCATAACGGCGACTATTCCATGTGTCGTGGGCCAAATAAGGCGGAGCCGCTTGGATATATAAAGTGGTAGAAGGGTAGTTAAATGTTTGCGGCACGGGGTAGTAGCTATGCTGTACGGGTAAACGGCCAGTGCCAGATATCGACGGTGCGGTGGGCACGCCAGGCCCTTGTGGTTGCGGTCTATTGTCATCTCCACTCTGAAGAGCGGAATGCTGCTGCATCCCTATGGTCCCTGACAAAGAGAGTTTTCACTCACTTCAGCGGTTGTTACGTTTAGTTGGTTCCAGAGGCGGATAAGAGGTAAAACACCTCGATGCTTCTTCTTCTGTCAACTCACCTGGTTCACCCAAAGGTCTTCGTCCACTTTTTAGCTTGTTAAACACAAAAGATCTATGACTGCAGTTTCAAAGATGTTGCAAGAGATTGGGAGAAAGTGATATAAAAATAAGAAAGTTCACCGGTCGAAAAATAGCCTGGAGATGCGGCTAGAGTCAAAGTAGCAGTTGAGGCTTGAGCAAGAAATATATTGAAATAGAACTGCATATCTCTAAAATAGTCCCGCAGAGGAAGCACGAGAAGTTTGCAGAGAGCTAAAAGAAAACACACAGAACAAAGAGAGAAATGCAAAGACCGATAAGAAATCTTCGCGCTAGGGAAGGCCCCAGAGTAATCTTTGCTCGAAGACTAGTCAGGAGTTCGAAAGAACTTGGATCAACGGGGACCGTTGGCCAAGATGAGCAGGGTCACTGGTTTGGCTGGGCCCTTGCAGAGCTGAGGACTGGATAGATAATTGGCAGCCATCCTTGCACAAGGCAGTGGGCTCATGATGAGCATCAATCAATATTGGCCCTGGCGCAACTTTGAGCGATCGGAATACACTTGCGCCCGCTCTCTTAGAAGGTCAGATGGATGTCGCCTCCGACTCTCAGCCATCAGTTATTGCACATTGACTTCAATCCTCAATTCCAGTCTTAGCTGCAACTAGATAGCATTGTGGAAAAATCAGAAAAGAGTGGCGGCAGTTCGTTGACTAGCACAGATCTTGTTTGTCCATCTAAAATGGTGCTGTGTAGAGTCCAGAAGCAGGAAACGAGGGGGCAAATCCAACCCAGTTTATGCACGGCGAGTTAGCTGGGCGGTTGAGAGTGGCAAAACGATGATCTGCAGGTTTGACTGGTCGCAAAAAGCAAGCCTCCGAGAACGATAGAGCAAGTCATCGTCAATCAGCCACAAATCTCGGCTTATATTTAATGTCCAGAGCAGAAGGGAAAGCTAACTAACCAACCTGCAATTGCGCCGCGAAACGAGCCACCCGGAAATGTGAGCGGTAACTTATAAATTAGTGCTGGCGAATCAGATCTTCGCCAAACTCGCAGTTGTGGAAGATAATGATGCCTACATGGGGTTCTTGCTACTGTACCTGGGTCCTGGGGCGGGATCGGGATGTATCCAGACAAATAAACCTCCAAAAGCTTTCTCCAGCCTCCCAGAGTCTGCTATCCACCCCCAGATCAGACCCCTTTCCTCACACTCACAGGGTTACCCAGATAGGCCTATCCACAGAGGACCAAAGAAATATGGGAGGGAAAGGATTCGAAAAGGCACAACTGGACTGTTTACAATAGTTGCGAGAGTCCACCTGGCCACAATCAAATTATATTATCATTAAGTATCATTGAGGTATCGTGCAACATTAAAGGAGCCAAGTGATAATTTCCGAACCAGCAGAAAACGAAGTGTAGTGGGAATCCAAAAGACATCTGCAGCACAGGAGAGCATAAAATACTGCCTAAAAATAAAGTAACAATGAAGTCGGAGGGGTTTAATGCATAACAGGTGGCGATGACAACATTGGCCTTGAGCATCAAAAGAAAAGAACAAAAATTAAAAAATGAAAAAGGAAAAAGGAAAAAAACGAAACGGGAAAAAAAAAAAAAACGAAACGAAACAGGGAAGACCAGATAGGTAACTGCGGGGGCTGAGACAAAAGATGATCACGTTTTGCCTGGCCTGCAGTGCACCAGCGCGGGCACGTCCTCTGTGAATACACGCCTATGTTCCCGTAGCTATTTCTCTCCAGTCGGATTCCTGTCAAGCATGTGAAAGTAACGATGCGCAGTACCCCCCAGGAGATTAAATCAGAGGTCCAACACAGCAAGCAGCAGCTTGTAGAAATGTCGAGAAATGCCCCATCACCGGTAACTACCCATCAGATACCAACGACGAGGAGATCTTTCCGGCAAATCGAGCTCCATCGCTTCCGCGCTTCCACAGCCTTTCACGTCTTTGCCATCTAACCTTGGAGGCGCATGGGAAGCCAGTGAAGATTTGGCATGCATGTTCTCTCCGTTGAACTAGGTGGTGCTACCATTGCGAACCAAGGGTGAGGGGCGTTCTGTGTCGGCTCCAGGGCCTCCCGCGGGTGAAACAAGCATTCGTGACTGAGTTGTAATATTCCCACCTTTTTTGGCTGTGCGTTGGTTTACATACAACTGTGCCGCTGGTGACAAAGGTATTGTTGGCATTTCAGATGGAATTTCTGCCCCATTTTGAAGAAGCAATTCCGCGATTGGAAATGCTATAGGTTTCTCAGCAGCAGACGTTATGGAACTGGATCTCGATTCCGCCATCATAGACTTCCCTGGAGAACTGGGAGACGCAGGATCCGCCGCCGCCAGAGCCAGGAAGACGGCATGAGTGTTTCGAGACCGGTCAGTTACGTTCAGATTGGCACGAAGCGCAATTGCATATAATACGCCTCGTATGTCGTTTCTTTTGATAGAGGCGAGGAGTGTCTCCTCTGGAGTTGCGTAGCGGGAAGGTGTAGCCGACAAAGGCTGAAGAAAAGCTCTTTCACTATACTTTGCCGTAATGAACTTTAATCGCTGTTCCCTGCTCGACTGCGCCGTGGGCTTGAGCGCTGGATCTAGTCGAGATTCCCAAATCACATTGCTGACACGATTGCCAACTTGTAACAATATCTCGACAATGTCATTGGAAAAGGAATGTATGTCAAGAGTCAGTGAGCGAATCTTCGATATGTGCGTGCCCAGAGACCGGTGGATGCCGCTGCATTCGATACAAAGGACGATGCCAAGATTGATTGACACCCATTCAACTTTGGATAAGGATCCGCAATCCGCGCACCTACAATTACCTTGATCAGCTTCGCGGATTGTTTGTAAAAGCTTCGATGGATTTTCTTCATAACTATTGCTATCGCCCCGAACATAACTAGGTCGAGCCCCGACCGTGGTTCGGCGATTCACGCCAGATACGTGAGAATTGGAGTATCCATGTTGACCGGAATGAGAAGAGCTCTTCCCCGTTAAAACAGAGCCGATATCACGGTGAGCAGCTCCATCAGTCATTGGCTGCTGAAGTGTGGCAGGTGGGAGACTTCCGCCTTCCACAGCACTTTGCAACGCGTTGTTTATGGCAACAATCCAGGCATTCATGTCTTCCTCTGATGTTGCCTGATATATCCTCTTATAATGAGGAGTCATGACCTCGAAGCAAAATCTTCTCTCTGCATTCCGTGCTTCGCGAACGGAGGCCATCCGTAAATCTATTGGTTCCATGTGTAGATCCAGCTTTTGTTTCCAATTGCTATACTCGGAAAGTTTTCCTTGATCTAGGACTATCCAAAACCTATGAAATGAGAATTAGTCATGCTCCGAGATCAAAACGAAACAAAAATTTGAGCCATCTCTCAAATTTGAAGGGGAATTTGGATTAATGAATAATCTCACTTATGCCATGCTTGTTTGTTAATCCCTTTCGGATCAATATGAGATCCCGGACGGGATAACGCCCACAAAAGTCCCTCTTTCCTGTGGTCAACATTAAGACCGTCAGTAAAAGAAGCAGAAGAGTCCCGATCCTCAAGGTCTCGAATGCCTTTGAATCGATTTGATCCGGTCGATGCAGGAGGAGCCCCAGCTGGTGTCTCGATGGGAGTGGGGGTATTCAGTGATTGAGAAGGCCCAGAATTGTTATTGGTAACTGTCTTTAGTTGTGAGCCGGTGCTGTCTGCACGGCCCAGATCCGAGTCCGACTGATGGGTGACATTTGTATTTCCATACCCCGGGGCAGAAGCACCGTAGTTTGGTATGGATCCGGGTTCAATATATGTTTTCGTGCTCTTCTCTAGCGCCCGTCTCTTCTCTTCTCTCTCTGTACGCTGAAATTGAAATTCTTTATCAGCCTCGGAAACCTCATCTATGAGAGCCTGCAGTTGAGGAACCATCTCCTCAATCTTTTTGGCTGTTGACAAGTAATTTCTTGCTTGGGTGTCAGCATATTTTGTCAAATGAGATAACACTTCTTGTTCCTTGCGTCCACCGTGAAGGTCTTGCATAAATGATGAATAGTCAAATCGCTTTAATTCAAAATTTCTTCGTTTGGTTTGATACTTCGAATCGCTTTCAGCTCTCTTTTTCTCTTTCAGAGAATCCTGCCGCTGGCCCAGATATCGTCCAACATAAGCGTAATAATCTCTACTCTCATCTTCAAAGTCCTTTTTCTTCGATTCCGCCTGTTTAATGTCATGATTGTAGAGTTTAGAAAGCGGGTCGATGATGAGCTTTTGGAGATGTTTCGTATTTTGTTGTTCATAATTAAGGATTTCTCGTGCAATTTTTTCGAAGTAATGCTCTAATGCAGGCTGAATAGCATTGGCACTGGACACAGATGCGTCATTTAGCGCTGTAATAAAAGCGCTAACCGAATCGTTACATGCGGTTTGGGCCTGATATGCGGCTTCAGCCTTTTTCAAGATTTTCTTCATCTTAGCCCGCATATTGCCCGTTTTCTGCTCGAGGGCCTTCATTGTAGCACGAAATAGGGGGCCATCTTCAACGGCGCTCATGTCTTCCCCGGGACGTTGGCAAGTCACATCCACCTTAACAGAGCTTGCGACAGGCGCTGGTTGGGTGGTTGGCAAACTGTCTCCAATCTCAGGCGGTGTTGGTAGCGTTTGTTGATCCACAGGGGTCTCTGTTTCGCTCATGCGAGAGTGAACGGTTTGAGTGGAGGGTAACCGATGGCGAGCGGGGACGGTCAGTTCGAATTCGGGAGACGGGAATTGAGGGCTGGACAACAGCCTATACGTATTTTGCACCCAGAAAGAAAACGTTGCAAGAGTGTTGAGGCGATTGGTTCTTTGATCGTAGTCGAGAAAACTACAACAGTTGCGCCAACCACCTCCTTTATCCTCCGTGTGCCTTGGAGGTTTCCATCTCCAGGACCAGTCAAATTGGACTGAGGGGTTCCCCGAAGTTGAGAAATTCCCCACATGTTGGACATTGGAGTTATTTTGTAAATTAGGGTTTGCATGGAATTCTCTGGTCACTAGGTTATCCAATTCCCTCGAGTTTGATGCGTGCGCGAATGTTAAGCCGGTGAGAATGGTATCGGTGCTCTCGGGCAGACAAGTCGCCACTCCATTTGTTGTCAGAGGGGCAGATGGTTTCGTCTTCCCTTGGCGAATCACAAACGTGAAACGGAAATTCAGCTCGTCGTCATTGTTGAGTTTTAGGAGAAATGAAGGAGGTCCAATAGGAGATGAGTCGGGGTCCTATATCAGCAAGTCTTAGCAATTTCGACCAGCGCAATAGAAGGAATTACAGGTAAAAGGTGAAATGGAATGATTGAGTAGATCAACCTGAATAAATTCGATAAACCTATCATCCCCCGCTTCCCTCCGGGCGTTCATCCGCGAAGCGGGAAATGAATTCGGAGAAATGTTTAAGAGGACATTTCCACGACTGTTGCTGATCACGACAGATGTAATCGTCACTTTAATAAGAAAAAAATCAGAGACGTCAATATCAGTAAATAAGATGACGACATGATCTATAGGCCATGAAGGTTCAGAGGATGCTGGACCGTACATTTTGCCTGGTCCTTGAGATAAATGGCGCCGGGATCATCTGATCTGCTGCTTATGTTTCCCATAATGAACAGATTATGAGAGATTGACATTCAAACGAAGGACGGGGGTTCTATTTCATCGGAAAAGTTCGTCATCGAACAGCGGAGGAAGGAGGTGCGATGCGGGGAACAGAGTACATCAAGCGAAGGGCATTATTGAGGTCAAATTCGCAGGTGGTGGGATCGAAAATTAGGTCAGCTGGGAGAGTAGATATGCTGTGTATATTGAAAGGACTTTCATAAGTTATGGGGTTGTTGTTGTAGGCCGTTGGTTAGTTGACTGGATGTTGGATGGAGATGACCTCTGATGAGGAGGTTGATGTGGTGGTTGGTAGGTTCGTTTGGGTCGTGCCTGAGTTTTGCTGGTCTAGTCCGCCCTCCAGCAGATAAAATGGATGTAGCGTGTGAGAGTCATGTGACTGCATTGGATCCCGAGGTCCATTCTTGGCGTGTAGTTACTGATATATGATACAGCTTCTGGCGGACTTCCGCTGTTCACTCCCCTAATTTGTAAGGTAAATACCATTTACCTATGTATATCCTTTTACTCCGCAACGAATCCCACTGCTATACGTACAAAGACACTACCAGGGGTGCCACTGCATGTATATCTACCTAGTATAAGAACAACTAGAGAAGCTCAGGCCGTGGAAGCTCTGCCGTCCTTTTGTTGGCTCAGCCAACTAACTTAACTGATAAATTCCACGAATATCTCAACACCATATTATTATATTTAAATATAATTGAGAGTGTATATCTATTAGATATGGTAGATCATATTAAAATTCAATATTTATTTCAAAAACTGAGATAGTAACTGAATTGAGTGACTAGAATACATAAATCAAGATGTAGAAATTAAAGAAAATGATTAATAGATAATGAAAAAAACTACTTTTATGTAGAAAAACTAGACATTGAAGAATCTTTTAGCAACTATGTAATTAACTTATTACTGAATTAATAAATTTATATATGAACTTTGTGGCGTTCCGCCCCTATTCTTCCACCCCTCTCTATATTAGAATCCGCTCTCTATTCACCCCTTTCTAATCCACTCAGAGGCCTCAACCTTTTCTATATTCTCTATCCATGTCTCTCTAAAAGGTCCAAGATCCACTGAATCAATCAAGGTCCAAGATATGCATCAAATTGGTCCAAGATCTGCTAAATCAGTCACTCTAAATCATAATTGCTAGTCACTCTGATTCATAATTGTTAGTCCAATCACTCTAAAAAAGTGTTAGCTGTGATATCATCCTCTGAGTCAGATCTCAATTGCCTCCAAATAACTGCCTTAACCACCTCATAAAATGTCAAAAATAAATGCTTTGTCATTTGAATGCTCTTGTTATTCTGATGACTTCTGAATCCTCAACAAGATCAGAAGGTGCTGGGTTAGCCAGCAAGAAGCAAGGTGCTGATGAGGACACTCACCACAGCAGTTCCCATCAATGCACACAGATGTTCACAGAAAAGTATGTGATAGCAATTGCAGAAGTATGAAAAAACAAAAGCAGTTGATATACAAAATTATAATAATTGATCATTTTCTATAATCATCTCAAGATGAAAGAAGTGCTATTCACTGTCTCTGTGAGACAATACAATAAGATGAGTACAACAATGCAGAAAATCTCAGTAGCAGAATGAATAACTGTCTTCTATCAGTGAATTCAGATGTTCAGAACAGAAGTCATCAAGCACATCAGAAATTGAGAGTCTATCACTTTTGTCTTTGCAGATTTCAGTCACTCAGTTGCAAAAGATGATTGCTGTGATAAGAAAGTAATACTGAACATCATAAAGAAGCTCAAAGAGCTCAACATACAATTGAGAGAGTGAGAGTACAGACTGACAGATCTCAATATGCAGTTAAAGAAGCAGAAAAACTAAATGATAAATTTGAAATCTCAGCTCCATATCTGCAAGTCTCTTCTCAATGAGTGAGAGAAGGAACTAATCACTCATGAGGTTCACTCAGAGTGTGTCAGTGCCATTCACTTATCTGTTACAAGACTGAGTCTGAGAGAAGTCAGTCAAGAAGCATTGAGAGCAACAAATCATCTGTGAAAATTAATTTTGCATGCCAGAGTCAATCTAGAATATGATAGAACTGCCAGTACAAAGTGTTATACATATGATATGAAGAACAATAGAATAAGACAGAATAATCAATCTACTACTGAGAAATATGATCAATTCACACTTCTCATGACAGACATTTGAGATAGAATTGCTATTTCTTTATATGGCAAGAAGTAGTTAGTGAGGCTCTGAGTGATGGACCTTATGCTTTATGACTCAGATGAGATAGATGTGGCCACTTTTATATCATAATTAGAGTTCATGATAACTCTGAAAGAGGAGATGATAATTCTTAAAGTGGTTTCTTTATGTCTCAAGAGAAGAACTCTAAAGTGATACAATGAACTATTATCTAAATACTAGAATAAGATAGCAGTTTCACTTACAGTAATAGTTGACAAACTACATAGTGAGTTTCAGCTTTCAGAAAAAAAAATCTGAAACTGAGCTCAGAAATTATGATTCTCATTTGACAAGATAAGTGAGCTATTACTTACTGTCTACATCATTTGCAAGATCATTTTTCTATGAGCAGCAATGATTTCTGATCAGATCATGATCAAATGTCTGTTGTAAGAGAGATTGAAGAGTGATCTAGCTATAATCATTCCTCTCATCTTAATGAAATATCTAGATAATTTTCACAGACATATATGTGATAATGAGCTGGCTGCTAGATACATCTGAGGAGGTTGATAATAGTAACTTCTTAAGTATGAGAGAGGGAGAAATATTGAACTAAGAATAGACCTCTTATATTTTGTCAGTGTGACTGACAGACTGAGCTGATCATCTGATCATGACAGCAGCATCAATCAAAAGCAGAAGCTGGTAGATCTAACTGACAAATCAATTAATAAGTCAAGTCAATCATCTGATCATGACAGTTATGTCAACCAGACATAGAAGTCAGCAGAACTGATTTGATGACTTCATTCAAGTCTGTGCTTGTCAAGCCCACATCTGTCTCAGCAGCAGAGTGCTTTACTTGCAAAGGCCTGTACTATACTAATAGATACCTCAAGAAGACTGGTAATTGTGTTGTGAATCAAGTGGAATTCAACATCACAGACTCATTATCAAATTTGAAGAATGATTTTTCAGAGTTCAATGACAAGGTGAAAAACTAAATGAGAAGATGAGCATCAAGAGGCTCATCTCACCAGCAAAAGCTGCAGTAGCTTCTTTCTCAGAACATTATATTTTTAATACAGAGATATATATATTAGTCAATAGTATTTCAGAAAATGATCAGAAGATTATTAATGATTTATATTATCTGTCATATATATTTTTGTTCATTCAGATGATCACTCAGCAGAGAGAGTTGTTCATATATGTGAACATTAATGCTGAAATCTCTTTCATGAATGTAGAGATAGTAAAGCTATTTTTCTCACAACACTCATCTATCTCTATATCAGATAATCATAGTATTAGAATCAAAGATGTTGATGTAGAGTTAGATATCTTTAATACATATATTAATTTAGATATCATTATATAAAATTAAAAGAGTTTTCTCTTTTTCATGAAGAGTGAACTCCACTTAGTAAAATATCTAGATTGTAATGTTATATTAATCAATGATATCCTAGCATCTACTAGTATGAAAATCACTATGTGAGATTGAGTGATGACATTTTCCAATCAGTATTCTGTGCAAGTAAAAGCTATCTATAGGATTATTCAGATGAAAGAATGAGAATGTTCATTAGAGAGAGTAGAGAAAATCAGTTAGATTAGATAGTGATTTATAATCTATATTATTTAATCAGTCATAATTAATCTGAATGAAGAAATTCCACTTTCTGTGTTTCATGCCAGGCTGCTTACAAATATACTTTGAATGATGAAGTCAAGATTAAGAACTGATAAGAGATCAATCATATTCACTAAGTTGCTATAAGTCATAATCAACTCAGAAGTGACAGTGCTCTCATTCATTAATCTAGAAGCTATATCTATTACTATATGATTCTATCAAGTAGTGAAATATATCTTCTCAATAGAGAAAAAAATCTCACTCACTGATCTGAAATCATCCACCTAGCTGCAACAGATGATAAAGGTGAAAACTCATTAATAGTTTATAAGACAGCAGCAGAGAAGTCTGTAAACATGAATATATTCTCTTACTTGAATCTGATGAAATGATCTGTAGTTCAATTGACAATCAATTGTCACTATTGCCTGTTTCAGCCTGTGTTGAAGCAGTTCATAGATGACATGAAGATGTTATTATGCTTTATGAATGAAGTCAACTTTTCAGAACTCAAGTAATGTGTCTATCTGTTATTGAGACAAGATTAAGAGACAATGAATCAGATTTTGAATTCACTTCTGAATAATGATAGAATTGAGTGAGTTCTTCTTAAGAACAAGAATTTTATTACATCATCAGTATTTATCATGTGAAACAAAAGCAAGCTGAGAGTGATCATCAATCTGAGAAAGATCAATATGAGGCTGGTTTTGAATGTATATCTGCTGTCAACTCAGAAAGATGTTCTGCAGTTACTGAGTGATTCTACTCTTTTCTTCTCAATAAATATACAGTAAGACTTTTTCCAGCAGTCAATTGAGAAGAGTGACTGATTTAAGATAATCTTTGTCACTTCTTATTGAGAGTTGAAGTGATTCACAGTCATTATTATGAAATTGATGACTTTATCTAAGTTCTTTCAACAATAGATGAAGGAAATCCTGATTTGATATCTCTAGCAATTCATACTCATATATATGGATGGCATAATTATATACTTGCAAGAACTGAATAAGCATCTCAAACACCTGAGCAGTGTGTTTGCTGTGTTGGAGAAGTCAGAGATAATGATATTGCTAAGAAAATGCCACTTCATCTATTCATCAGTAGCTCTGCTTGAGCATCATATCAGACAGCTAAGCATATTCACACAGAAGGAAAAGATAGAGAT